TGGGCGGGGCTACCCGCCCAAAGCCAGGCGGGCCGGCCCCACCAGCATGGCAGGCCGACCGCCAACATGGGCGGGCTTAGCCCGCCGCAAGCCAGGGCGGGCGCGCCCGCCTAGCCGCGGCGGGCACGCCCGCCTTGAAGGGCGGGCAGGGGCGCTGGGGTCATTTTTTCCTATAACAAGACGGCTGCTGGACTCGTTTTGGGAACACTCAGTCTGTGGTTGACGGACGCTCCTTCTCCTACGCTCTTTGCAATTCTTTCTGCTTTCTGCATTTCTTTTTAATTTTAGTTTTACTTATTTTTGTGATATTGGGTCACTTAAAATTAAACTAAATTAATTTCCCTTACGAGGACTTACCTGGAGTTAAGAGTGTCGGACGATTAAATGCAGGTACGTAAGTCAAACTTTAGCCTATTTAATTTTAAGACTTCATGCATGCTTTTTTTCTACTCCTATAATTCTACAACTGCATAAATGCCTTCATACCATCATATAGGCATGTAAATGAGCCTCAATTTAAATATGATTTTAAGCTAATGCCCGGTTAAATTAATAATGCGTGGTATTAAAGTTTTAATCCGACAATATTGCTTAAAATATCTAGTCATTCAAATGCTTTATGGGTATGATTGCCTTTATTTCGAAATTTTCAGCTTAAGTCCAATTATACAATAATTGTGGCTAAAAGCCTTAATCAGTCATGTTTTTGGGCAGCTTAAATCACAATTTTTGGCTAAAAGCCTTCAAGCAATTGCTTTTGGCAAATAAATTGCCTCAAGTCAATCAATTTTGGCGACAATCGCCCAGTTACCAACTTTTGCCAATAAATTGCCTAAATCAAACTATTTTTGGCTAAAAGCCTTAAAATCAATCAATTTTGGCAACAATCACCTAAATCACAACATTTTTGGCAACAATTGCCTGAATTAATCTTTTTGGCTAAAAGTCATTAAAATCAACACTTTTGGCATTAAATGCCTAAAAATCAATTTTCAGGCAGAATGCCTAAACAAAATGCACAAAGCAATGACGAGCATACACAAACTCATGCATTAAGCTGACCCATTCAAAGCCTCTCAAGAAAGGCTAATCGACTACGTTTGGTTGACTTTGATCTTCCATTCAAATGGAAGTACGTAGGCACGTTCGGGATTTCACCCCGGGTGGCAAGTCGAAATCACTTAAACATTTCATTGATCCATCATTCACCCTTGCAAAACACTCATTCATCGGTTAGTTTATCAGCATGACAGGATCCACCTCGGGTTCGTAGATTATGCCTTAGACATTGGGATAATTAATCTAGTAATTAGGTTAATTAAAATCGGAGTCAACTTAGGGTTTTGTCTAGTTTACCCTAAAATAATTAAACAAGGTGGCGACTCACACATTCACGTGCATTTCTATCCTTTATCATATGCATTCACATGCCTATGTGTCGGGGTAGGGGTTCACAAGCAACAAGGAGTTACTGGGCGCCTTGGCCGAGAGATGGTGGGACACCACCAATACTTTCCACGTTTCTTGGGGTGAGTTGACAATGACCCCTGCGGACTTTTTTGTGATCTCCAGGATCCCCTTTGGCATTCGGCCGATCGAGCTATATGATGACTGGAGGACAGAGATCTCTCCTGACCGGATGGTGGAGCTGATCGGGATAGACCTGCCTCATCACTTTTAGGACAATGATGGAGATCATTTGAGTATTCGTTGAGCATTTCAACCAATCTAGCAGTGCAATGCATACAATGATCATCCGAGTACTCATCACACTCTCCTCTTACAAGGATCTTCCTAAAGGACTCTCTAGCCGATCCAATAATGCCCAAGAAAGCAATCATGGCATCAGCAGGTGATGACAGAGTCTTAGGCATCCTATTTAGTTCTAAAATGCTTACATTTAGTTTCTCATTAATCTTGCTAGATATATCAGGCAAGCATAGCTATTATGGTTGCTTGAATTTGAGTCAATTTTTGAGCAAGAACCGGAATACCCATCATGGATTTATCAATCTTGGATAGAAGAGGATGATTTTCAAGGAGTATAGCTCCTTCTTTTCTGGCTTCATCATAAGACTCATCACTAATTCTATTCCAAACACAAACATAACCTAACACTATATTGACATATTGACATCATCTGCATTAACTTTCTCAAGCAACCCTTCAGGTGCCTTATCAGACTTGGTGACAATAGCAAGAGTTCTCTCACCAGTTCTATCTACTTGTCGTGACATTCTAATTGATTCACAAATCGAAAAATCAAGAGTTGCTAATGAAATATTAAGAATAATACTTTCTTCAGGACTTATATACTCCATTATAATACCTACAATTTGCTCATAAATGTTTTCAAGCTGACTAGGAACGAGCACCCTAGTAATTCCAGGTAAATCAATCATCGTAAGATCATGAACACCATTCTTTTTCACTATCAAAGTTAATGGAGTGTTGGAAATGCCTTTACCATTGCCAACAATTTCATCTATAACAAGATTAATGGCATTTGCAATATGGGTTTCATCGGTCGGCACCGTTTTGCCATTAAACTCGAAGAAAAGCTCGGGTGTGGTAGTTGGGTACGCAAATCCCCTGCCCACGTGGAAGATTGACACCAGCAAGTGATTCGAGAATGCTGGATTTTTCGGAAGACTGATCGCCGACGACAACTATGGTGGGTAATTGTATGCCTTATGTCCTAACCTTGAGAAACTTAAGCTTATCAATCACATCAAGAAGAGGCCGAATACAATCATTGTAGGATGATACAATGAGCACTGTATCTTCTTCAACTTTTGCATTAACCAATGCAATGGAGGAAACCTCTTCATATGCTTCCATCTCGTCACCATTTGACAAAGGAGTTTCGCTTACACCCATTTTCAGAGGAAAGAAATTTTTGCAAGAAACGGTTGTGTTTGATAGAGAACGAAGAGTGGATATATGAGAATTGCAAAGAAAGTGAAATATGAGATATTACGCAACCAAAAAAAAAAAAACTATGAACTAAAAAGTTAGGCTTTCGCACAGAATCAAAGCAAAGTGGTGGGTTTTAAAAGAATTCTTAGGTTTCATGGGTCCTTCGCAGCTCAAATAGAGTCTTAATTTGTTGACTACAGTATTATTAATTTATAATGAACCAAAAACCAGGCAATTGTATCTCAAGTGAAATTCGCTTCTAAATAATTTAATTGTCAATGATTTTTTTAATTAATGGAAATTTTAGATTATATATATTGTCCCTTAATGGACTTTAAAATTATTATAATTGCTTGCTTGCATCATTCCATTATATATAGTTAGGAATGGAAAAAAAAATGAAATTTATACCACCAAAATTTAATCTAATACTAAATATTGGAAATAATTTTTTTATATAAATTTATTAATTTCAATAGATTTGACTTTTTGTTTTTTTTAAAAAAAAAAGAGTATTCAGGTGTAATAAATGCACAAATTTTGTATGATATAAAATTTGCGCTTTGTGGTTGTCAACGCAATGCAAAATGAGTTTGTGCTTTTTTTTTATTTGAAGTTTTCTGATAAAATATAGAGCATACCATTGACTTTTATGGCTGATTATTGAAAACGATGAATAGTTGACATTGAGAATAAATAAAAGGTCATGGACAATCCTTCTGTCGTATGCTCCCATACCATGCGATTTGTTATTATGTTTGGGTTAATATAACAAATGTAACATAATCAAAATTTTAACTCAGTTCTAAAATTTTCTCAAAATTTTACACAGCATACAGAAAATTTTCTCAAGTTACAAATTTTCCAAAGAATCATATCAAGAAAAGAATGAATAGAAAAAATGGACACAATTATGAAATAACTAAAACAAACTTTTCATTGATACACCTGCAAATAACTACAAGTGAGATCAAAGATTCAACATCCAAGTCTTCTCCTCAAATACCAAAGCCAAAACAGAAGCAAATACTAGAAATCAAACATACCTAAATGCAATAAAAAAAAGAAAAAGAGAAGACCATAGTCATTCAATAGACTAAACCCAATCAGTTATCAAGATAAGTTGCAATTTTGTCCATTATATTTCCTAGGACATTCTTGGACCCTCCAAGCAACTTGATGCACATGTTCAGCTTTTCACATTTACTGGCAATAGAAGGTGATTCTTCCAGTATTCTTTCTAGCCCACCACCTCAGCCACCCATCAACTCACTAATAATTTACTTTTCCATTTCTCTGTTCACTAGGTTTTGAATACTAAACTGCAAATGCAAAGCCGTAGAATCAATGAGCCTTCCCAATACAATCTTCCAATAAGCAGTCATTCTCATCTTCAGGTCGAAAGCTTGTTGTACAACATTATCCTGATAATTTTTTATACCTAAAAATTCAATGCTTTCAATGCCTTCAATCCATGCAGCATTTTGGCTATTTGTTCGAATTTGTTTCTTGAATGTATCATATTCACCCATTAGCTTGTTCCACTCACTCATATATTCAGGATTGCAAGTGTAATTTGTCACCTTCTCCATTTGAACAATTTCCATGAATTTGTTTCTTGAATGTATCATATTCACCCATTAGCTTGTTCCACTCACTCATATATTCAGGATTGCAAGTGTAATTTGTCACCTTCTCCATTTGAACAATTTCCATAACCCAACTAATTGACCGATCTTTCATTTTGGATATAAGCTCACAGCCTGCCCGTGCAATAGATAACTGAAGCTGATTGTAATTCTCAGAGTGATGCATTAAAATAGAAAGTACCACATTTTCAATGTAAGTCCACACTTTTTCAATGAAATCAATAAGCATTTCTGATATCCATTCAACCTTCTTCTGCAGCATAGACAGGAAGGCTGTGCGAGGCAGGAAATTTGGGAGTTCAATCCCTCTTGATTCTTCCAGAATGTGAATCTCCTCCATCAAGAAGTTTCTTGTAGGATCACTTTTAGGACAATGATGGAGATCATTTGAGTATTCGTTGAGCATTTCAACCAATCTAGTAGTGCAATGCATATCATGATCATCCGAGTACTCATCATACTCTCCTCTTACAAGGATCTTCCTGAGTGACTCTTTAGCTGATCCAACAATGCCCAAGAAAATAGTCACGGCTTCAGCAGGTGATAACAAAAGTCTTAGGCATCCTATTCAGCTCTTAAATGCTTGCATTTAGTTTCCTATTAATCTTCCTAAATATATCAGGCAAGCATCTTGGTATTATAGTTGCTTGAATTTGAGTCAATTTTTTAGCAAGAACTGGAACACCCACTATGGATTTATCAATCTTTGACGGAAGTGGATGATTTTCGAAGAGTACAGCTTCTTGTTTGCTTGCTTCACCATAAGACTCATCACCAATTCTATTCCTAACACCAATGTAAGCTAACCCTATATTAACATCATCTGCAGTAACTTTCTCAAGGAACCCTTCAGGTGCCTTATCAGACATGCTGACAACAGCAAGAGTTCTCTCACCAGTCTTATCTACTTGTTGTGATATTCTAATTGATTCACAAGTAGGAAAACCAATAGTTGCTGATAAAACATTAAGAATAATACTTTCTTTAGGACTTATATACTCCATTATAATACCTGCAATTTGCTCATAAATGTTGTCAGGCTGACCATGTACGGGCACCCAAGTAATTCCAGGTAAATCAATCATTATAAGATTAGGAACACCATTATGTTTCACTACCAAAGTTAATGGAGTGTTGGAAATGCCTTTACCATTGCCAGCAATTTCATCAGTAGCATGATTAATCGCATTTGGAACATGGGTTTCATCAGTTCGCACCATTTAGCCATTAAACTCCAAGAAAAGCTTGGGTGTGGTAGTTGGGTAGTGTTATAGCCTCATGATTAGTGGTACTTTGGTGCAAATCCCCTGTCCACGTGGAAGATTGATACCAGCAAGTGATTCAAGAATGCTGGATTTGCCGAAAGGCTGGTCGTCGACAACAACTATGGTGGATTGTTGTATGCCTTTTATCGTAACCTTGAGAAGCCTAAGCTTATCAACTGCATCAAGAAGAGGCCGAACATGATCATTATAGGATGATACAATGGGCACTGCATCTTCTTCTACTTCTGCATTAACCAAATCAAGGGAGGAACCCTCTTCATATTCTTCCATCTCATCACCATTTGATAGAGGAGTTTCGGTTCCACCCATTTTTAGAGAAAAAAAAGATTTTGCAAGAAACGGTTATGCCAGATGGAGAAGGAAGAGCGGATATAAAAGAATGGGAAAGAAAGTGGAACATGGTACTTTTATGCTATCAGAAATTGAGGACCGGGGAGAATTGTGTATTAGTGGGCTTTTGGGATTAAGTTGCGATATATATATTGGAAAAAAGATAATTGTATTGTGGGAATCCTTATTATTTATTAGTTTGAGTTTATTTAGGAGTCTAATTTAAGTTTATTTAAGAGTCTAATGTCTGTAATATATGTTGTATTTAACAACATTAGTACTCCTTATAGTTACTTGCTTTTTATTTTTTATTTAAATACAATTGGTCAATTTTTTATTATATTATAATAAAAATCATAAATTATGGAGATTAACTATAAAAACATTAAGTGCATCTTTTTAATATTTTACTACAAAGATTATAATATGTATGTAAACAAAGTGAACAAATATTATAAAAAAGTTATTGTAATGAAATGCCAATTAAACCAAAATTTTATGATTGAAACAAGGTGAAAAAATAAAAATAATAAAAATTCAAGCAAAATAATATTTCTAAGATTAAATAGTAAAACGAGAAGTAGAAAAAAGTCCTAAACTCTATAGTCAAACAAAAATAAAAAAATTTTTAGTGATTTTTTTATAAGAATAATAATATATTATAATGTGGTAATTAATAAAATCTCTAATTGAGTTCTTACTATAAAGATGTTCCTCTACTGTTGGGAGTACAACAATAAATTTAAATAATTTTTAGTTCTTTTAATTAAATTCTTTTTATTATTTTTTTATAAGGGTCTCCTATAAGAATTAACTAACATAGATTATTTTGGTCATAAGTCATTAAATGCATCCATTAGACATGTCTTGGAAATAAAACAGCAACAGACATTCCATTTTACACAACTGAAATCTCGTGAAAACAGCTTCACAATAAAAAGAACTCATATAAATAGAATAAGATTAATTGCATTTCATAAATCATACATTTAGAAAATAATTTATTGTTTTTTTGACTGGAAAAAAAAATAATTGTTAGCTCTTAATAATAAAAGAGAACACATACAAATTGTTAGGATCTCATACCTAATGAGATTTATTAAACTGAAAAATTTCATGAAATCTTTAATTTTATACTCCACAATTTCATTATACATACTGTTATACAATTTATATAATATAAACACGAAAGTTCAACTTGAACAGCTATCTATTGCTTTGTTGGGTATATAAATAATGTTGAACTTAACATATTATACAACTGTCGATGCAAGCAGATAAATATTAATACATATACCTCTATCACATCTCAATGTCTTCTAGGTCTGGTAGACGAAATCCAAGGATTGCAGCAATGCCAATCGATTGTGCCAATTCTATTTTTGGAGAGAAAAATGATGGATTCAAAATTTATGCCAACTTAGATTGGACCATTGAAAAACTATTCAGTCTACGAAAATTTCGTATTTGGTTTATGAATGCTTAAAGTAAAGTGAAATGGTACTCACGCTCTCCTGAGACATGCATAGATGAAAATATATGAACATTGCCTCCTGAATCCTTCATTGAGTTGACTAAATTGACATACTTCTGCCTTGTTGGTATATCAGCATTTCTGAAATCTAGACAATAACAGTAAATTCATAATATTAATCTCGTATAAAGGTATTATACTTCTCTCATGAACAATATTGGGATCCTAGATCGAGGTTTGATCATTGATGAGATAATAAGAGAAAATAGATGATGCAAACTGCAAATGTGAGTTGACTAAATGACATTCTCTTAATGCTTCTCTTAATTAGCTAATAGTAGTAGTAATGTTGATAGTAGTATTACTGTTGAAAGTTTAGAAGTAATCTAAGCACACTAACCTGAACAGATCATCTGTGATGAGAAGAGTTTGGACAGCCACTTGTTCATGGGCAACCTCTACATGCTTCGATCCACAGCATGCTCGAGCTGTATCCTATCAAAAAACCCCACACTCAAAGCACATTTTAAGAATTTAGTTGGGACTCACGAGTTATCTTAAGCACATTTTAAGAATTTACCTAGGATTCGAGTTATCTCATAAATATAAGCATATTAAAAGAGCTAATCTATAAGTAATTTTACCATTAATCATATGTTAAGATTGAATGGCTCATAGAGTTGAACTTAGGTTCATTGTGTTCTAGTTTCCAACCTTATCCTTGAGTTTTTGTGATTCATTATCGACATATAGAAAGCCAGGCAAGGAAAGAAAACTTTACAATTAAAGCCGAAATCCACTCATTTTGAGAACAGAACTTACATTGGAAAGCATGTCAAAGAAATCATCCAGTGCACGGACCTGTAAAAGAAAAACGATATGTTGTCACATTTGATTAGATGTTCAACACAGTATGCTTCTACAAACACAAGTAGGCATCAGCTAGTACTAGGACAAGGAAAGAATATTCAAGCAAAGAAAAAATGAGAAAATATTGGCCCACTGGGATTTGTCTAAAATTACCTCTTGTGCAGCCTTAGTGTCTTTTCTCATGTTCATAACATTTGGAGCATCAAGAACCTCTCCTTAGCTATGCCTGCACACCAAATGTTAATGTTCAGTAATTAAAAAAAGCATGACAGAATGAAATTTTAAAAATAACATCAAAACAAGCAGTGGCAAAACTTATAATAAGCTAGCTCAAAGGTTGACTGTTGAGCCTAAATCATTCTACCAGAATACTAAGCCTACACTAATTTATACAGCTCATCAAATTGAAAGGATAAGACAAGTTTTGTTATATTCTAATAGAGCTTCCTAAATATCAGTGTAGAATGATCTTTCTTCTCCTTTTGGTATCTATTCCTCCAAACAATAAAAACATGAATACAGAAGAAGTTACAAAGAAACTTCAAGGTGCTGTACAAAATGAAAAGGCAGAAGCAAATTTCTATGATGTACAGTTAAGCACAATGGCCCAACAATTTCATTTGACTAAGATGAGACTTAAAATAGAACACACAGGAAGAGCAGAGCAAGGTGAATGTAATGCATTAACAAAAAAGGAAATGTGGAAGGAGACACTGTCTCACACATGCTCAAATACTTATGCTAACCGTAGTCACCATCACAAAATTTCATTACTTTTCTCAATGCTGTAAGTACTAGAAGCACATATAACATTTTACGTGGGGATTTTTCTTTCTGTCTACCATTCAATCTGTACTCTTTGTTGGTCATATAGCATTTTCTCAAGGCAACTGTTGTTGTTATTTTTTTATTCTTTCTCTTTTTGATGAATGAGCCATTTTATTAAGGAAAGTAAATCATAAACACGTTCAAAGCTCTCAAAAGGCTCAGATTCAATCACTACTTGTCAAACTAGCTAATAAATTTTGTGTATTTGAGCCTTGTGAGAGTGTTTGAAGTTTTTGTTGCTTTACCTTTTAATTTTTAATTAACTTTTCAAAACCCAAATAGATTCCTTCTACCCCTAACAGAAAATGTAACAAGAAGGAAATAAACCAAAAATATGAAAAGGAAAAATACCCATATTACCTAAAGATGGTGGCAAAGGAATAACATTATCATTGGTCAGTGAATGTTCTTGAGACTCGGAGGCATCTCCCTCACGCAAAGCAACTGAATGCTGTGTTCCATTATTATACCCATATTACCTAAAGATGGTGGCAAAGGAATAACATTATCATTGGTCAGTGAATGTTCTTGAGACTCGGAGGCATCTCCCTCACGCAAAGCAACTGAATGCTGTGTTCCATTATTTGTAGAGCCAGGCAACTTATGAGAGAAAAAAAAGGAAGAAAATTCAGTTATGATTAAATGCAAAGTAAGGAACTAAAATATGAAATATCAGAGTTATAAATTTAGTTGGGTCAAATCATCAAAACCAAATAGAAACAGAAAAGAGGTGAGAAAGTATCTCTCCTAAAAGCTCTAATGGCGATATGCATGCAAGAGAATCGCATCTTATAATGAAGGAAACAGGAAGGTGACATTCATGTTTTCCCCTAAATCAGATAACCTCCCTTCAATATCCAATGTAGATCTTGCCATAGAAGATTAGACTCCTTGCATATGAACGTTTCTTAGTATTACATTCTTCACAAGAAAAAATAGGTGATTTAGGAAGGGTGGGTAAAAGAGAAGCTTTAAAATCCAAATGAGGATTCAAACTCAAATTCTTGGTGCAGATTACAAAAACGCAAATAGTAATGCATTACCTTTTCACTAGGTATGCTCTCTCTTCTATTTCAATGAATACTATCTATTCTATATTGTGACGCTCTCTTTCGCAATGGATCACTGCCACGAACTGAAGGTGCCTTGAGAAAACTGCAATTAGATCCCCGTTTGCTATTCTTGAGGTCCTCATCCAATTTGCTGCTACCCCATGTGTAAGTCACATTTTTCCTCAACTAGTTATCAGAAGAATGTATAATACATCAGTCATCTAATCACAGGATCCAAAAATTAAAATTTAAGCTCAATGTAAAAAAGTAGCTAGAGTCCAATATGAGCTGCTTCCTTGGAAAGGAACTTACTTTATGCCAATGATTTTGAGCTTTTAGCCGGTTTCTTATGTTTCCCATGGTGCTATCTTCATTGTGGAGTTTTTTTATTCTGTACTCAGCTTTGTACGAAACAAATAATAAATTTAATAGAAAAAGATAATTATATCACTTTGGTAACATTTATTTTTGTCATAGGCTAGTTAAAGTCAGCTGCATATTAACATCAAATAACTTATTTTTACATTTTCAAGTATCTTATTCTATCTTGGCATTCATACCTAGTATGAGAATTGTTCTTCGAAATTATCATAAGTATTACCACAAAATTTTCAGAGGTATGCAAAATAACAAAACTTGTTTGAGCCTCTTTCCTGATTCTTTAGGCCATAAGCCTATTCAGAATCTTTTACATAATTATCACCACCCATCACGCCTATCAGAATGCTACAATAGAACTACCACTAGAACCATTTTTTCAACTTCCAAAATTATTAGAGCACAACACTCTTTGCATGTGTGCTGTGCCAATAGCACACAAAGAATGGGCTTAGCATGCTCTTATTTTCAAAGGGATTTAATTTAACATATAGCATTTTGTTGAAATCTCTTCCCTCAACTCTTTGAAGGTCAAATCCTCACAACTCCTCATGATGCTTGCTTTACCTTCCTAATGTAGACATACACAAATATCTTTATTTATTGAATAACAATATTTCTTCTTCCACGGTTCCACCTCATTTCTTAATTTCTCATCAAAACAGAAGAGTAAAAAAGAACAGCTTCCAAAGGAACAAAAATCATACTTGCACAAAGAAGTAAAAAAAATATACGGATGCTAAAGCAATACAGTCCACCAAGATCTGCAAGGAAGCTCACTGCATTGCAAACAAGGTGAAATAAGATTGCAGAATGTAGCATATGTTGTATAAACAAAACTAGATTTAGTAAAGTAGAACACTGAACTAAAGGCAACCAAGAGGCATAGCAGCTAACTAAATATACAAATATATTTTACTAAAGCTGCTATAGAAGCTAAGGGACATGCATGTACAAACACCACCATATATGATCTTCCTCTTACAGAGACTAGTTATGACCAGAATCTCCCAATAGTCACTATTCAGCAAACCAATTGCCAACCTTGGTACTTTGTCTCACACCAAACACTAAGGGTGATAAGTATATAGTTCAAACCAAAAAAACCAACCAAACTAATGATTTCCAGTTTTTGCAGTTTTATTTTTTTAAAAATTTTGCTTTGGTTCATTTTTTTTTTTTTTCATAAAATTCGGTTACTCCTATTTTCCATGTACAGAAACAAAAGGAGGCAATGTTAGGAACATAGTAGGTCCAAAATCCCTTGCTTTCTTGATAAAAGATCTAAATGAGATTCAAGTCTACTAAATGAGATTCAAGTCTACAAAACAAATTCGGGCATGTTTCAGCTGAGCATGTGTCCACATGTGTGCTGTTGTGAAATAGGAACTTATGCTGAATTCTAAAAGTAAATTTTCATTTTGATCACAAGATGTAGGCAATCATCAAAGATGTATGCAGCATTGCAATCATAAGAAAGTCAAAGTAAAGAATTTAATTGTGAATCTGCATCGAGAAGAGGGTGAGTAGACATTGCCAAAATAAGCAAAAACCTTTCCAACTGAAAGGCAAATCATCAGAAATTATGGGGAAAATAAGAATGAAAAATACCCAACTTTAGATCTAAATGAGATTCAAGTCTACAAAGCAAATTCAGGCTTGTTTCGGCTGAGCATGTGTCCATATGTGTGCTGTTGTGAAATAGGAACTCATGATGAATTCTAAAAGTAAATTTTCATTGTGATCACAAGATGTAGGCAATCATCAAAGATGAATGCAGCAGTGCAATCATAAGAAAGTCAAAGTAAAGAATTTAATTGTGAATCTGCATGAAGAAGAGGGTGAGGAGACATTGCCAACATAAGCAGAAACCTTTCCAACTGAAAGGCAAATCATCAGAAATTATGGGGCAAACAAGAATGAAAAATACCCAATTTTAATTGACTCTAGATGTTCATATGTCTTAAACACCACCTAAAACATTAAAGCCATGATCTTCTTTTAAATTGGACAACTAAAACACAATTTTCATCGATACATCTGCAACTGGATCATCAATTCAACATCCAAGTCTTCCCCTCAAACACCAAAACCAAAGACAAAAGCAAATACTAGAACTCCAACATACCTAAATGCAACAAAAAAGAAAAAGAGAAGACCATAATATTCATTCGATAGAGTAACCCTAATCAGTTATCAAGATAAGTTGTTGCAATTTTGTCCATTATATTTCCTTGGACAGTCTTGGACTCTCCAAGCAACTTGATGCGCATGTTCAGCTTCTCACGCTTACTGGCAACAGAAGGTGATTCTTCCAGCATTCTTTCTAGCCCACCACCGCAACCACCCATCAACTCACTAATAATTTCATTATCCAGTTCCTTGTTCACAAGGTTTTGAATACTAAACTGCAAATGCAAAACCGTAGAATCAATTAGCCTTCTCAATACAATCTTTCAAAAAGCAATCATTCTCATCTTCAGGTCGAAAGCTTGTTGTACAACGTTATCCTGATAATTTCTGATCCCAAAACTTCAATTTTTCCAATGCCTTCAATCCATGCAGCATTTTGTCTAGTTGTTTTGATTTGTTTACTGAATGTATCATATTCATCCATCAGCTTGTTCCACTCGCTCATATATTCAGGATTGCAAATGTAATCTGTCACTTTCTCCATTTGAACAATTTCCATAACCCAACTAATTAACAGATCTTTCATTTTGGATGTAAGCTTATGGCCTGTTCATCCAGGAGATAACTAAAGCTGATGGTAATTCTCAGAGTGACGCATTAAAACAGAAAGTACCACATTTTCGATGTAAGTCCACACTTTTTCCACAAAATCAATTGGCATTCTTAATATCCATTCAACCTTCTTCTGCAGCATAGACAGGAAGGCTGTGCGAGGCAAGAGTTTTGGGAGTTCAATCCTTCTTGATTCTTCAACAATCCAAATCTCCTCCACCAAGATGTTTTTTCTAGGATCATTTTGAGGGCAATTATGGAGATCATTTGAGTATTCGTTGAGCATTTCAAGC